CGGAAAAGAAGAAAGAAGGGTGGCAGTCCCTTGGCTGCCATGGCTGCCGGCCAAGAGAGAGGAGAGAGAGAGAAAAATTTGATTTTCTTCTTACGACCCCCAATTTATAGAAAAACCTAAAAAGTGTCCCGAACAGGCCCCGCCGGGTCCGAAAAAGTGAAATTCATGCAGATGCGCTCAAACGGCAAAACTTCATGAATAAAAAAGATTTAAAATGAGAAAATATGAATAACGGAAGAAATGGCATCAAAAACCGAGTCCCGAGTAGAGAGAGATGTCCCAAACAAGTTTGGCGGCAACCGGGGCCAGTAACCCTAAAACTGGAGAAAAACAACCAGAAGGAAATTCTAAGAGTACACGGCTTGACGAAAAGTGAAAATGAATCCCGCACGAGGATCCAGGCTCAAAACGAGGCATTTTGTAATAACTTTCATTAATTGCACAATGCCCTCCAAAAAGTGAAAACTGCACAACTAACCCAGAATGAAAATATCCTCCAAAAATATTTTTTTAGAAACCCTTGAAATAAAATATCTTCAAAATATATTTATGAAAAACACCCCAAGAAAAGAAAAAGATTCCAAAGAACTGTGAATCCATGCCCCTATGGACACCGGGAGCAACTAGAGTACTTTTCTGCAAAAGTAAAGATACGTATTTCGTGGAAACCACTTAGAATGAAGATACATGAAGTCAAAAACCAACTCCAAACATGAGAAGTGAGGTTATGCCAACAAAGTGACAAACGGGGAAAAGACAAAATAAGGAAAATTACGAAATAGGGAAAATGACGAAAAGTGAATAGTGTTCGAAAAATGAAAATATGGAAATGACTCGGTCCTCAAAGGAAGTTGTCAATCCAAGAAAAAGAGTATCAGAAACTATTTCTGATCACCCGAGACGACACTATGTGATGAGAAACTGAACTCAGAAAGGAAAAGATCAATGGAAAAAAATATCCGTGAAAAACTGAGAAAAAGGAAAGAAAGGAAAATGACCGGGTCATTACAAGCTGGCTTACTGTTTCCCTCTCCATCATTAGCTGCTTCACTGTTTCTGGAGGGAGAGTCAAGATGGGTGATCTCCTTAGTCGGTAAAGTTCTGTTAGTGGCAATAGATGCAGAGGGAGCAATGGTGGTGATGGAAGGAACATTCAGAGGACTAACAAGTGGGATGACCCCTGAAGATACAATCTCATTGCATTCAATGAAGATATTTTCAGTAGGAGTAGGGGATAGATCTTTGTACACGCTTGGTGGATCAATGTCCAAGGAGACATCCAGCTCATCCGGACCCGCGCATGAGCTTGATTCGCCTTCAGGAGGAGAACGGTCAGCAAAACCATCTTTATATCCCTCGGTGTACCTGAGAGTCCCGATTCTGGAAAAGCGGGCGTGAAGAGCCCTCATGCCACCATCAACTTTGCTTATGACATTCAGTAGAGCGGTACGCTCGTTCGAGAACTTCTCTGCAAAAATAACATGGGTCAACCATTTAGCAATTATAGTGCGCTGAAGGTCCCCCTTCTCAGCCTTTAAAGTATCCCTTTCTGTCTGAGCAATGTTCTTCTCTGTCTTCAAAACATCAGCCTCATCTTGGAGAGAATCCCACTCATCCTTTAGAGCGTTCCTCTTATCCCTCAGAGCATCCATCTCCTTCTCTGATTTGTTCAGCTTAACTAAAAGCTCCGTGTTTTTGGCTTCAGTTATTCTTTCTGATTCAACAGATCATTTGAGGCCAGCAGAGAGGGACTTGATTTTCTTGTTGGCATGTTCAATACTCTTCTGGAATGTGAACATCCCAAATAGAGTCTGCACAAAGACACAAGTGTATTAGAAAGTACAAGTGTTTGATAATCAGAACAGGAAAAACAAAAGAAGGTTAGTACAGAAGGTAAAAAAGAGAGGAAGGAAGAATTACCTCAACATCAGCCGTTGAAAAGCGTTGGTACCTCTCGTTGAAGGTCATTTTGTTCTGAACCTCTATGTCCTTAGGGGTCCAAATGCCCTTATAAAAAGCAAATGAAATAAGAGGGTCCTTGAACAGAGAATATATGGGGGCAACGATTGATCCATTTTCACGTCTGAGCAAGGGACGCCATGGAGTGGCAGATGTTCTCGCAGCTTCACCCTCTGGAATGATTATCTGAGGGGAAGGAAGAGTTGTTATGACATTAAAAGTCCGAGCCCTTTGGGCCGGAGGAAGAGCGCTTTGATCATGACTACCTTCAGGCTGAGGTCTCTTGCCCAGACTCTTTTCTGAAACACAAGTTCGGGCAATGGGAGAACCTACAGCATTTGGAGAAGAACCCTCAACGTTTAGAGCATCATTAGGAGAAGTTTCATTGGGGTGTTCAGAGGGTGCATCGCTCAACAGTTCAGGTTAAGTGTTAGCCAAAATGGAGGACGAAGGTTCAGTGGTAGGCTGCTCATTGTTCTGAGTCATAACTGGGTTAGTCGAAGTGGCCACAGGAGTGGCTGGAACAGTCGTGGGAGTGGCTGCAGAACATCTCCTTCTGCTGAAAGAAGGAATTTGGACATTCTCCATGGTGGTTCCGAGAATGGATATTTCAGAAAGGTTGTCCGAGCTGAGCAGGTCGATGGCAGAAGGGATGTCGTTTAGAACTCTCTCCTACAGAAGGTTAAGTCTGGCCCTGCAAACGCTAAAACCCAATTTGTCATGATCAATGTGAAGGCAATGACAAAGAAAAGTGCAGAAATGAGGAAGGTAAATTTCAAAGGGGCAATCGGTCGGATGATTTTTATATTTCTTATACAGAGGAACAGAACACTCTCCGAAAGTGGTTGGGATAGGGAAAGTCAAACGGAACGGAGTTCACCAATCACCACTGACCCTGATTAAGTTTTTCTTCCAACCCTTTTCAAATGAGAGTTTGTCCGTACATATAAACCGTTTCTCAATAGGAAAGAAGTGAAAGTACATCCCGTTGGTTCCGATTTTGGCGACTCTATAGCAAAGAAGAAGATCTATGATGTCTAGATCTAGGTTCCTGTTACAGTTCAGGAGCAGCAAAACAGATTTCACCCTAAGAAAGTTAGGGTTGACTTGAAGAGAAGAAAGCCCTAATCGGTTAAAGACATAATAGAAGAACAGGTGTAGGGGAAATCTAATTATATTTAAATGGAGAACTAAAAATAGGATCTCGCCAGGAAGGAGACCCTCTCCGGACTTCTCATCCGAGTCAGTGGGGTAAACTCAAAGGGAGACATTATTTGGGATGTTATTCCTTGAATGAATAACATCCAAATCAAGGGAAGCCATTTAAAAAAAAAAGGAAGAAATTTTTAAGTGTAAAATTCCTTTCTTCTAAAAGGAAATAGCAAGAGAAAAGAACTAACCTTGGAAAGGGAGTTTGCAAAGTACCCCGTAACAAAGCGAAAGTCGAAGAATCGCAAAGGGAAAAACTCGCCGGAGAAAACAAGGGAAGCTCGCCTGAGAATACTGGTAGGTGGCAGAGATAATCGAAGAAGATGACGCTTGAAGATAGAGATGAGAAAGGTTGAAGAAAGACAAAAAGTGAGAAGTTGGGGTTTTTAAAGTGAAAATGATTCAACATCCAAGAAGCTATAGTAATAATGGTACAGCAGATCTCAAAGTGTGGGTCTCTGAGCCAACCGTTCACTTCCCCACGTTACTACCTCAAACCATCATGTCATGATTATGTCCTTTCGATAATCTCACCCTAATTAATTAGGGAGAGATTATGGGGGCAAATGAGGATACTAAAAATGGTCTGGGCTGAGCACGATCTAGATTACTAAGAACGGGTCAGGAAAGAGCAATCGCTTCGAACCAAATCTTTTCTAGTCAGGCCCAGGACTGGGGAATCGTGTTAGAAGCCCGATTTCAGATAAAAGGAATTGAGCCCATAACCAAGAGGGGCCTAGAAGAACAGCTTAGTGCAGGGAGTTAGTTAGGAAGCTTCTAGAAGATCTGTAACAGTCTATAAATAGACTGAAAATAGAGGGAAAAGGGGTTGGAAAATATTTTGAAGTGTAGAATTATTCTTTCTAAATAAAGAGCATTTTTCTTGCATCTTCAAAGTAGAACTAACTATTCATTTAAGAGAAATAAGGAAGCTTGTAAATACAAAAAATAAAATAAAAAATTGTGTTCATGGACTCATGGGCTTTCAACCAGAGAACACAAAAAGAGCAAAATATATATTATTTAGAGGTGTATATATATATTAGATACAATGTATATATTTGGACAAAAAAAAAAAAAAAAAAAAAAAAAAAATCATCTAAATAGTATTGTAAGAGAACACATTTAGAGAGAACTTGTCTTTTAGAAGTTTACTAAAATAGAAATTGTTAGTAGAAAAGAAACTCAGTTAGTTGTTGTACATAATTCAGTTAAAAAGAAGCAGTTTTCACGAGAAAATTTTATTTTCGCGTGTTTTGTGTGAGAAAAGTTTTGCGGAAAACTAGTCTAATGCGGAAAAATATATATTTTATTACGATTCTTTTTTCATCTATCCAAATTCTAAAAAAATGTAAAAATTTTATCTTTCCTTTATTTTTCTAATTGATTCCATCTAATCAAACATACCCTTACATTGGGTTATTTTCTCCACAAATTTGGAGTGTATTCTTCATTTTATTACTTTACTTTAAGATTTCTATGCCTTTTCAGACCCGGCTTTTTGCCTCCCGGTTTGGCTTGGCCTTTTTGCCCTACAATATATATATATATATATATATATATATATATATGTAATAACGGAGCAAATTTTCAATATTTGTTGCAAACCCGCCACCAGCCCTCATAGCTTTAGACTACACAACTACAAAAACTGAATATAAAAAAAATAAATAAATAAAAATAAATAAATAATGCAAGTAGTCGGGTAGGCCTCATGTTGTAAATACTATATTCTTTGTCGATGTGGGACACTTTACTGCTTTCTCTTTCACCACAGAAACGTAAGTAGTTTGACATTCCTTATCAACTTGAACAAACGAAGGGAACAAATATCTGTAAACAGGTTTGGACTCCAAGCATATTATTAATATATTTAATAATGTCATATTCACCATATTGTTGTTGCATCTGACCACAAAACTATTACATGGACTCCCTAAAGTTTCTTATTTATTACTGTTTTTTGGATTCGGATATGGGCATGTGTTTATGCGTCTAATTAACTTGTTTCATTCAGAATCAAAACTGAGACATGCCAGCAGAAAAGGCCATGAGGGGCATAGACTGGGATGAGATGGCCATGGAACACCCGCTCATGCTCGTGCTCGTGCTCGTGCTGCGCATATAGCTCAGAACAATCTCCAGAGACTCCAACCTTTTCTTCAGTTCAGCCAATTGAGCTCTCAGAACCATGTTCTCAGACTCCACACCTGACCATAGTTGCCTAACGCTATTCATTTCCTCAAATATCACATTGTTGCTTCTCTTCAAGTAACTAACTTGGTTATTGAGCTCTTTCATGTGCTGCTCTTTCCTCATCCGTGACCTCCTCGCCGATTCTCGATTCGACATCATCCTCTTCCTCTTCCTTTCATCCATTTTTGCGCACCGGTCGTCCCCTTCTGAACCTGAGCCGGTAATTAGTACCTTCTCAGGCAACATTATTTCAATCTGCTGTCAAATATAAAAAATGTTTTTGACAGTTTATATCAAGCAAACACTTACTATGAAGTTAGAGATGAACAGATTAATGAGAAAACATAAAACCAGTAGAGAAAAACAACAGAAAATGATTGGAGAAGTCGAATTCGACCAAGGAGGGACATGAAACTCGTAGATTAGGGATGGGTTTTTGCTAAAAACTATTCTGAGATGATAGAGAACATGATCACAAGAAAAATTCAAGAGAGTGACAATATCTACATGAAAAGTAAGTACAGTTGGTGAAGGGTTATGAGGGTTATCCAAAATGGGGGCATTTATAGCCTTACAGGACATATGAGGGTGAGGATGAGGTTGAGGATGATAATATGTATTGAAGGAATCTTAGTAAGACTTGGGTGACTGATTTTAAAGAGTCGTAAAAGTTTGGATAACTTTAAATATCCAAATTCACTACCATTTCAACATTCGACAACTGTTAGCAACAAATTGGATTACACGCACACGCACACGCACACGCACACGTTTGGCGACTTATTCTTCATTAAATGTACATAAATTTATATTTTATTTTTAAAAATAAAAATTTTTAAAACAATTTAATCAATTTTTTAATTTTTTTATGAATATATTATATAAAAAAAGAAGAATTTTTTTTAAAAAAAAATTTAAGTAGTTTATTAATTTTTGATCAATATATTATATGAAAAAAGGATATTTTTTATGATATAATTTTTTAATAAGTTAATCAATTTTTTAGAAAATTGAATAATATAATTTTAATAATAAGTTAATCAATTTTTTAGAAAATGATAGTTACAAATCTATTTAATTTATTTATATTTTAAGGATAAATTGATATTAATAATAAAATTAAGATAAATAGTATAATTGATATTTAAATAAGAGAAAAGATAATAAAAATAATTTAATAAGAAATGAAAAATTTAATAAGAAAGGGTAAAATAGTTTTTTGTCATGGATTTATCCTTTAATTATAATTAATTAATATTTTAAGGGGGTAATTTTTAATATATGATACTGGATTAATAATATAAGATTAAATAACAAGATTTGAACAAGAGTTGAACAGACTTACAGAAAACTTTCTTTATTAAACTTCCAAGCTAATACTGAGAAATATTACAAAAGAGAGAAAAGGAAATTGAAAGATACATTGATGGGAAACTTTGCCCTCTATTTATACATAAAATGGACTTGAAATTATCATTTTGAAGTCCGCATAGTGCATGGGATCGTGTGCTGGAATATTGCAGTCGGTCGGCCCACCACTAAGTTCTGTCTCCTTATCGGATGGAAAGTAGATATCTGATGAAGGACATACTGTAGAACCAAAGACTTTTGGGAAAAAGTTCTTTGGCTGCTTCTGTCGGCAGGATAAGAGGAATCTTTACTTTTTGGGTGGATTCATCTTGTCCATCAAATGACTGGTGAGAGAGTCCCAATAGTCTGCTACTATAGGCTCATCTTCAGCAATAATATCTTCATTGGGATCTTGTGCATAACCGGCTAGACAGGAAAACTGATTACCGTCTTGACTGGTCTGGCTAGAGACTAACACCATGGATGCATCATCTCGTACTGTAGGAGTGAAGGAATCAAAGGATTTAACAAATTTGGTCCTCATAAAATCCATGCATTTAACCATTAAATCAGCTTCGGTAATTAATGGTTGTTGTTTTCTGATCATATCTTTAACAAATTCAAATGGGTTAAAGATTTCGGGTTCTGGAATAGTTAACTTTGGAATCTTATCCATGTATTCCAGTGTTTTCTTTCTGATCTGATGGAGGAGGGCTTGGATAGGTTCTTGAGTCATGCCTGACCACCATCGGTAATAAAAGATCCTCTGGAGGACTGGTAACTTATCAGTGGTATAACCACATTGGAAATCCCATTTCCAAATCCAAGGGATTCCAAATTCAGTAAAGAACAATATGGTGGATTTCCCTACAGGAATATTATCCTGCCCCCGTAATTGAGGATGAAATTGTTGCCATGGTAAGTATAATTGGCTGATAGATTCGGGCAACATATCCAGATCAGGGCCAAATATAGCCCACCAGGGTATAACCCAGTTGGGGAAATCAGCCTTAACTGATTGAGGGCATATCTTGAAGAACCAAGAATGCTTATGCTTCGGATTTTGATAAAAGAACGAATATGTCCAAGCTGAGATATAATCTCAATAATTATAACTGTGACCATAGGATATTTTCCTTGGCAAATTGGGATTTAATCCCCAGTCACTAGGCCGTATAAGCCTCTTAAAGATAGCTTTACTATAAGTAAGAGGACTATCTTTGGAATTTGGAAATTGCTTCGTGTGGTTGATCTCCACAGAAGAAGTTTCAATAAGAATGGCTTCATAGATATATCTATGGCGACCATCCGGTGCAGCATATTGTTGAGTTTGAAAATATCTGGATTTTACTTCCCAAGAATCTGGCATCCATTGCTCATCTTGAGAATCCAGTATCAGTACTGTTTGAATATACCTTTGATTAGGTATCCATGGAGTTTCTTGTTCAAGAACCTCTTTCATGGTTGGTTTCTGTTGTTTTTGCTGGGAACTGCTACTTCCTTTAGAAGGTGTGTTGAGCAGATCAGCAACATGTTCCAAGTATGGAAATTGATCATCGGTGAGTGGTATAACCACCTTAGCCTTAGCCTTGTTTTTGCCACGAGCCTTTGGAGTATTACCCCGGCCCTGCCCATGGGGGGGCGGATTCATGAACCCTGCAAAAATTCACGAGTTAGAAAATCAGGTAAAGAATTAGAATTGCCTTTAATATATTCAATAGAAAAATCAAAAGCAGATAAATCAGCTTGCCAACCAGCAAATATCTGTTTGGACACTAAATTCTTTACATCTTTTTCCAGTACTTGTTTAGCAGCACTACAATCAATGCGTAACAAGAATTTCTGATTGATTAAATCATCTTGGAATTTATAAATGCATTTAACCAAAGAAAGAATTTCCTTTTTGATGGTTGAATAATTTAATTGTGCATTTTTCCAAGTTCCTGAAGTGAAGCGAACAAACTCCTCTGTTCCTGTGTTTGGATTTTTCTGTTTAAGAATACCACCGTATCCAATATTGGAGGCATCTGTTTCCACAATTTTGAACCATGAAGAATTGGCTAGAGCTAAGCAAGGAATTTGTTTGGCTTTGAGTTTAATCTTCTGGACTGCCTTGGTGTGTTCCAAAGTCCATGGGGAAGGGGATTTCCTTAACCTGGTGTACAAAATTGCTGTGTCCTGTGCAAAATCTCTGTAGTGATTTCGAATATAATTCAAGCTACCCAGAAATCTTTGAAGCTGAGTTTTATCCTTAATTTTATCGGGAAATTTAGAAGCAAACTCAATACTGCGATTAATAGGTCTAATTTTCCCATCACAAATTTCATGTCCAAGAAATCTGACCTTAGTTAAAAACAGTTTTAGTTTAGGAGCAGAAACTACTAAACCACTACGGTAAATGACATCTTTGAAAATTTTCAAGTGTTTATAATGCTGATCTATGGATTTTGAAAATATGAGAATATCATCAATATAAACAATAGAAAATTCAGTAAAAGGATTAAATATGTCATTCAAAATATGTTGAAATTCTGAAGGGGCATTTTTTAATCCAAATGGCATCACTGTCCATTCATACTGTCCAAAAGGTACACAAAAAACTGTTTTGTACCTGTCTTCTTCTGCAATCTGTACCTGGTAATATCCAGATTTAAGATCAAATTTAGAAAAGATTACAGCAAATTGTAACCTATCTAAAAGATCTTTGATGTTGGGAATTGGATACCGGATCCAACTCAAAGCAAGATTGAGTGGCCGATAATCAATAACCAATCGAGGAATTCCTCGTTCTTTTTCAGCATTTTTATTAACATAAAAAACTCTGCAACTCCAGGGGGAGTAGCTAGTAGTGACAAGCTTCTTAGCCATTAAAGAGCTGATTTCAGTTTTACATAATTCCAAGTAGTCAGCTTTCATGTGGCTGGGACTAGCTTTAGAAGGAATCATGCGATCGGTAAATCCCTTTTCATAGGGTAAAGAAACAATATGCTTCTTTCTGGCCCAAAAAGCATTAGGAATTTCACTACAGATTTCCTTTAGAAAGTTTTGTCGTAGTGACTCAATTTTCCGTTGCTCAGTGGGTTGTACCAATCTTTGATTAATTGCTAAGGAGGATACCTCCTTTTGCAAATAATTCAGTTGCTTTTCCTTAAAGATAATGTTATCTTTAAGAGCATTGATATGCTTGTTTACTGGTGGGGTCAAGAACTGGAAAGTAATTGACTGACCATGTAAATTAGAGCATATTCCATGAGAATCAATTTTCTCAATGGGCATAATCAAAGCTAAAAAGGGGGTGCCCAAAATAACTTGTTGTGCCATATTCCTGATGAGTAAAAAAGTAGATGGTAAACAAACTCCTTCTTTACAAATAAAAACATGATTAAGTTTATACTTAATCTGCATCTTACCTCCACTTGCACTGGTAAGACCTTGAGTGGTTTTCTCAAAGTATTGAGTAGGAACCAATCCTTCCTGTATGCAGTTCATGTCTGCACCACTATCAACTAAGGCAATTGCATTAGTGATTGTGTACTCCTGATTAATTACCAAATTGATAGATATATACCATTTTTGGTAAGTAACTTGATTCAAGAGTTGGAGATAATTAGTACCTTTTGATTGAGGGACTTCATCATTGGATGATGAAGATGGAATTGCAGATTTTGCTTTTAAAAGAGTAATTTCCAAATCCATCTTAGTCTGACGAGACTTTAATTGACGAATTTCTTCTTTTAAAAGATTAATCTCCATTCTGAGATCAGGGAGACTAGCAGGACGAGAATTTTGTCCTTGGTGTTCTAATCTGCTTAGAACTTCTTTCATGCTGTAATGATTTTCTGCTCTCAGAAAATCTGGATTATCCGTATCCTCATTAGATCGTACCAGAACAGAACCTAATTCAAAGACTTTCATCTTGATTTGAGGATCCTGGATATGATCTATAAGATCTAATAAGGATTGTTGAGTCGAAGTCAAAACATTTAAGCTTAACCCATTCATCTCAACAATTGCCTTATAATAATCATCATGCGAGGGATTACAGGAACATCTAGGGTTTTCAATCTCTGCTTCAGAGGAAGAAGAAGACTGTAATTCCATGACAACATCCCCATAATCACTTGATGATTCTGATTCAGAAGAACTAGTATTAAGTAACAATTTACTTAATTGAAGTCTCAGTTCTTCTTCGATATGAAGACTACTGAGTTTCTCCTTAGTTCTGCACTTGTTTGCATAGTGGCCGATACGTCCACATTTGAAACATTTAGCCTCAGCCTTGG